ATTAAGGCTCGTTCCGTGCTTGACTGAAGAGAGGCCTCAGAGGGTCTCAGATGAAAGAGCGCCATTTGGAAATTGGACCTAGACTTCCTTCGCCGGTTTCATCTACAGCCGTAGGACGATAAAAGAAACGTCAAATCAAATATCGACTAATGCAGAAAATTTTAGGAATGGGCTGCGACATCCTTGGCCTCTGTGTGAAATGGATGGCATCAGCTGAAGTCCGAATAAGCTAGCCTTTCAAAAGAGCCTTCTCAAGTGGGAATTCTCCAACACTGGACGTGCTTTACCTCCAGCTGAGCAAGATGATTACCTGGAGGATCATCGAAACCTATTCTCTTACAGACAGAGCTGGCGAGGATAAAGTTAAAGAATTTTATCGAGAACTGGAACAAGGATATGCCTATAACTCAACGTGTACCCTCGTCGTGGGAGAATTCAATGCAAATGTCAAACCAGAAAGTGCCAGTGAAGCCTTCTGTGGGAGGCATGGCAGAGGAGAGCGAATCTGCGAACAAGGAGGTGGTGAAAATGGCAGAAACAAAACACCTGTACATCGCAACACCTGGTTTAAGAAGATCAGCAGCAGGTGGACAAAGTTCACAGCCAAAAATTCTTCAGCGATAAATTCGGAAGCATCTGAGATATGGTCATAGTGGCATCATCAAACACTTGCAGTGACTACAGACTGGTGCGAAACAGGCTAAAATTGGAGGAACAGAACCAGACAAAGGCATTGCATATGGCAAATCGCAGACAACGTCCGGAAATATCGAGACAGTGCTCCCAACGCATATTTCCAGTGAAAACTGGAGCTTGAAAGGCTGCTACGAAGAGGACGAAATTTTGTCGAGAATCGGTGAAGCGCTGCGCCAAATCAGTCGAGGTATCAACTCTAAAGGGGTGGGAAGGTTCTCAGAACAGACAAAGGGTTTTTAGGGCAGCAGAGGAGGACGACGAGAGAGTTGGCTGTGAGTTCGTTAAACAGAAGCTCAAGGAGCACTTCGGACGTTCAGATTGTGAAAATTTAAGAAAACAGCCGAAAACTGCAGAAGCCTCAGACAGTGCAAGATTGCGTTATTGCTTATCAGTCGAATATCACAGCGTTGAAAATCAGCGATGGCAGATTAACGTCTGATAGGGCTGAGATCCGGTCTATCTGAAAGAATGTTTACAGTCATTTTTTATGTCAAATTCGATAATAATAAGATTTTCACACGGCGACTACAGTTCCAGCATGATGGTCAGGCAGCGGACAGGAGTGAGGGACATCGTCATAGGAGAAAAGATAAGCTTCGGTTCGCCGGACAGGTAGCTCCACTCACGGATGGAAGATGGTCGGTGATGATCATCGACTGGTATCCTCTCGAGCACGCTAGGACACTTGGTCGTCAACCACCTCTGTCGGATGATAATATGAAGAGCTAATGAGGCGGCGCTTGCAGGGAGAAAGCTCTAAACCGTGAGGAATGGTGGTCCAAGTGAAGACCAAGGCTTAGGTTATGTCGAATGAAAATCTACTGAATTGGCAGGCGTCGCTTAATCAGAACGGTAGGGAGGGACTGTTG